GTGTGTGTGTGTGTGTGTGTGTGTGTGTGTGTGTGTGTGTGTGTGTATGACTACTTTTTTTACACACTGGTGAAGATTCTCAGTCATCCAGGACATGGTAAATTCAAAAACGTTCAAGACAAAAACAACTGGACTTTATTTATAACAGAAGACGTTTCAATTTTCATCAGATGGGAAGCGAAACGTCTTCTGTTCCAAATAAAGTCCATTTGTTTTTGTCTTGAGCGTTTTTGAATTCACTGCTGTTATGATTCAGTTCAGTTTTATGTAAAGAGTTTTCTGTAATAATTTGAAGAAGCGGCAATACATTTATGTTCATTATTCAAGGATTTCTTTATTTGTCATACACACCGCATGTGGTACATGTGGTGGAACAAAATTGTGTACAGGTCCCAGTTACATCCAACAAAAGTATAAAACGTAAAAGAAAAACAGTAAAAAGATCTAAGATATGAACTAAAAAAAAGGTTAACTAAAGTAAAAATACACTAAGCCCTAGTAGTATTAAAAAAAAAAGAATACGCCAAACAGCAGCACGAACATTAGTCTGTGTGAGCAGATGAGTACAAATAAACACAGCAACATGAAACAGATCAGCATCATATTGATGTGATTTTTCACAGTGATTTTCCTGGTTAGATATTCATGAGTCTAACAGCCTCAGGGTAGAAGCTGTTCCTCAGTCTAGTAATTCTACATTTAATGGTCCTTAACCTCCTGCCAGAGGGAAGCGGGGTAAAAAGTGAGTGTGCTGGATGAGTGGGGTCCTTCCTGATGCAGGTGGCCCTCTTCTTGCATCTGGAGGTGTAGATGTCTGTGATGGTGGGGAGACTGACTCCACTCTCTGCAGAGCTTTTCTTTTATGTGAATAGGTAAAGTTTTAAATTGTTTTTTATGCTGTTAATTTTGTCAAAACTGTAATTTCTGAAAGTTGAAATTAAAAATTTTGTTAATTAATCGTCTTGGATGAAAAATACCCCATGTTTAAAAGTATAAAAATTGTATTAACACTATTAAAGAACAGGTCTTTAGTATTTATGTTACACAAATATTTCTATTGCATTAAATTGAGGATTATGAGGGGGTCCCTGAAACTTTTGCCCCTGAATCCAAAAAGTTTGAGTATACCCTGGTCTAGTCTACACACACAATTTTAAATAAAATAGCTTGTTTTTGTGAATCAGTTTATCCTTAACTCAGTTAAGGACTTTGCAAAGGGATTTAAAGATTTTTATTTTGACTTAGGAGGAAATCCCCAGAAAACTGGAGGACACGCTGAAAAAGTCTATTTGGCTCTCACTCATGACCAACCAATCATGCCCAGGTAACTGTCATATGCACATAAAAATAAATTATCTAAATGTTTGACAATACAAACACTAAGTAGTTTTTTTTTTTTTTAGATGTTGCTGCAGAGCTTGAGGAGGTACAGCAAAACTACAATTTGCTGAAGAATGGTTTGAATGAAGAAAGAGCCTAAAATGGGTAAAGCTTCAAGTACACGACCACAACATTTGTCAAAGGCGTTATTGTGAAATGCTTTTTCTCTGATCAGTATTTAAAAAAACATTTTAATAACATTTGGCCTTTTCTATCAAACAGCTGCCCCGAATCCAAGACACAAAGATCCATCACTGTGACACAAAAGTTCAAGATGGAAAAACTTTACAGGCAAATGTGAAAAACAGTGAATGATGCGAATTACTTTGACACTGCTCTGTTTTTTGTTTGTTTTTTTCCCCCACCTTTTTTAATTCACGGTTTAAGAAATATTTTAACACATACTTTGACTTCACTCTGGGATTTAAGTTTTTTTTAATGGCCTTTTATTAATTTCAGAAAGAAAAATGTGATAGGTGGGAAAACCCAAACAAATGTTTCATTTATTATCTTTTATTAACAAATTGTAGGAAAAAACAAGGTTCTTATAGTATGTAGTAGTAGTGTATCTTATTTTATGTTAATTTTTTAAAGTGTTGTTTCATTAGTTTTTGAGTTTTTAAATGCAATTAATTTTATGAAACTTATAATCAATATTAATTTTAGCTCATATTGTATGCATGAGTTGACCAAAATAGCTTTAAGAAGAGTTAAGTTTTACATTTTGGATAACACATGCAAGAACGAGACTAACTTTTTTGGTGTGTTCACATGAAAAAGCAAAGAAACACATTTTTATGCATTTTTATTTGTATTTTTGACTTCATTAGATATATTCTTCTGCTGATTTTTTTTATATGTAAGTCAATTCTAACTGCATGCATGCAAGAAACACCTTGCAAAAATATCTGAAGCTCTTGACCTTGACCCCTCTAAGGGATTTTACACAACTGCTAAGTTCATGGCAAGAACCAACACAGACATGTTCCTGTTTTTAGTATTTTACATCGCTTTATTATGTAACTGTTTTTGGTTCATTTTATATAATTTTTTTTATTTACTTTTTTATTTTATATGCCTTTATCTGATTGTCTATTGCTGTCTGTACTAGGGGTTAAACGACTACAGATTTTTTAAAGGCGATTTAAAAATGGTAAAAGCTGAGTCGACGTCCACTAATCGATGATGTCATAGGAACTCAAGAGGCTATATCATATTCGCAAAAAAAGGAAGAAAAAATGTCATTATTTACAAAAAAAACAACAACAAAACATTGGGCGTATATTTATGCTCCTACCATTTATCATACTGCAAATAAATCACAGGAAAACCAAAACTATTATTAAGCTGCAAAAGTGAAAGAAACGTGCGGCACATAAAAAAACAAGGCTAAGAACAGCGTGGAGCACCTTATTATAATATTATAATTATTTTAGTTATCAATGGTCGTCGGACATGTGCATCCGCTGACACAGCAGCTGGGTCCATTTAAGCCACAGGTGGATCACTGGCAGTCATCCATCTGGACTTTTCTGTAGCGTAGTGAACAGCTGTCCCTTTTTTTAAATGGTCGTGTGTGTCGGCTGACGCAGCGACTGGTGAGCTTCAGGTGTGTCTGGCAGTGATCTATCTGGACTTTTGTGTATGTCTTTTAACCGGCCGGTCAGTGCGACCGTTGGTGATCCAAACTGGATCATCTGCCGATGCAATTAAAAGCCCGACACCAACCCACCCGCCCATCCAGCACATTATTTTGGCTTGGACTGGGCGCGGCCGTGTTAGAAATGACAGCTCTACCAACCCCACTGATTTTAGTTTTATTTAATTTTATCCCCACCCACCCACACACACACACACACACACACACTGGAAACAATGGGGGGGGGGGGGGGACTATTTGAAATATAAAAACTTGCGAGATGCCCTAGAGTCGACTAGTCAACTAGTCTATTCAACCCCTAGTCTGTACTGCATCTGTGTTCTTTGTTTAAAACGGGTCTCTTGTAAATGAGTCCTTGTGGCTTAATGTGACTAACCTGTATAAATAAAGGTTGAATGAAAAAAATGTATTTGATAACAAATGCCTTCCAATAAACCTTCAGATAAAGTGCATTTGTGTATGTATTTTTAGGGAAAATGTAAGAATAGACTGTCACCTCATCATGTTTATCAGCCGGCTCGGTTGTGCTTTAACACAGGTCCATGTCCCTGGGGAGTGGAGCATCTTGTTTCCATAACATCGAGGAGAAATTGAGATAGTTAACCTTCCAAGGCCAACGCAGGGGGAGCCAGATTCAGATATCAACATTTGTTTTGGGTCAGACCGAGCTCTGTTAATTTCCGTCTGCCTTTACAGTCTCACTAGTTCATCTCATGGCGACTCCAAACAGACAAATTGTGATTACATACGCCCAGTCGAGCTTACAGCTTCTCCAAGATCTGTTCCTTCCTGCCAGCGAGATTCAGGAACTGCAAGTAGTCTGCGATTCTCTGCAAGAGTCACATCCAGCTGACGGCTCGGCTCGCACAGCATTTGAGTCAGGGTGTTGTCGAGCACAGCACATTCCTTCACGCCAGGCAGCTTAAAAATGGCCAGAACAGCTGCTGATGTTTTCAGAATTTGTTGATAATCCAGGTAACCACCAGTCCCAAAAAGCAGAATCCTTTTAGCATAAATCCAATTATGTACACACAGGAGGGCTCTCCTTAGCCCTGTCTTCTTGTTAAAAAAATGGGATCAATTGCATTGATCAGCTGATCAGATCCATAGTTTACAATTCAGAAGATATGCAAAAAGAGGCCCTGTAAAAGGTTTGCAGGACAAAGAGCAGAGCAGGGACGGCCGGAGCAGGAGGAAGAAGTGTCTGCCTTTGCTGAGGGCAAGCAGGAAAATAAATAAATGTCCTGGACGACTGAAAATATACCAATATACCTTAACTTGGCCCCAAATAAAGGTATGCTATGCCAAAAACAGTTGCTAACGGTTCAGTTGAGGAGGAGGAAGGAGACGAACGCAACAATAAGTGAAGGACAAACCTAAACTTCTTCTTTCTGCTGTTCCCTCTTCAGGAGTCACCATGAGTCATCCTCCATCTCAATCTACCATCACTTTAACTAAATCCATGTCCTCTCTAATTGCATCCTCTTTAACCTTCCTCTTTTTTGTCATTTTGCTGACAACAGCTTCATTTCTCCCGTCTTAACAATATACCCACTGTCCCTCCTCTGGACATGTCCAAAACATCTCAGTCTGGCCTCTCTAACTTTATCTCCCAGTTCAACCTGTGCCGTACCTCTGATCTCATTCCTAATCCATTCTTGTCACTCCCAAGGAGACCCTCAACATCTTCATTTCTGCCACTTCCAGTTCTTTCTCCAGTCTTTTTGTCAATGCCATTCTCTCCAGACCATACAACATAGCTGGTCTCACTACTCTCTTGGAAACATCTGTAGAACTTCTGTAGCTGCAAGTTCATAAATGCACAAAAGGTCCAGCTTCACCAGAGCTGCTGGTTAAATGCTCCTTTGTTTTTTAGCCACACAATCGTTCACTGCCAAAAGGAGTGTCTTTAAGTGTGGCCACAGGGAGGCACTTTCTCGTGCCGTTCTTCAACTGAAAACTCGGCTCACTTGGTTAAAACTTAATGAAGAACTTAAACTAAATTTGTGCCCAACACACTAACAGTGCAGCTACTGTATGTCAGAGGAAAGCATCAACACAACAACTGCAACTAATGCAAACATCTGCTTTGAATCTTTATAAGAAACTTTTAAAATAACATCACAGCAGCATGTAAATACATTTAGATTTTTTTAATTAAGCATTAAGTGAAGCCAAATGGTAAAACACGATGAAACGTCTTAAAGTATTTCAGATTCAGCACCAATAACTCAACTAGGGACACAAAGGTACTTGAAGCCCTTGAACAAAAAACACATCAATCCATGCATTCTTCACATCTTAAGACTAAATTTTACAACTACAGTATCTGACAGACATCATAAAAATGATTTTTTAAATTTAGGTACAATTATATGAGCTTCATGTTTATGAACATAGCTGAAAAATACAGTTTAAGCATGCTAAAATACAGCAGAAGGCTGAGGTGTTCTCAGGCACATTTCTTTCTCTAACTTCTCTTTTGGCTCCGACATTAAGCCTGCATACAGCTACTTGGTAAATACTTAAATCACTTGACAGTCTTGGAAAACTCCATTTTCTATACACACAAATAACATTTCACCAAGAGGCAACAGCCAAAACATTAGCACTGTTTTAGTGTTTATCAGTGGACTAAAATACATTCATTTCACACATTAGGAAACAATCCATTTGTTAGCAGCACAGAAATGAAAGTGGTTCAAGATTTGTAAAAGATTAAAAATTCAAGTTCACAGGTCAGGCGGTGTTGAGCTGGGTGTTAACCCAGAGAGTGCTGCTTCTTCAGGTTGTCAGAGCGCCTCACTCTGTCTTCTGGAGTTTTTCTATACCAGCTCCTAAAAACAAACGAAGAATCACCAAAAATGTGCCAGTTTCTTCAGAAATTTTCAAACTCTCATTTACAAAGTCAATGCATACTTCCAGCTATAGTTAGTTAATTATACAATTATTTGTTGCTCAAATTACATCAAATTTAATAATGATCGCATGCATTTTTAAAGAATACTTTATATATAAAATATTCATTATGACATTTGTACACAAGTATCATTGTATGCGTTCACATGGAAATTAAATACATGTCAGTACTTCATGACACTAAACTGCTTGAAATTTTGTTTAAAATATATACAGCTTCTACCCTGAGGCTGTTAGACTCATGAATCTCTAACTAGAA